CACTGTTTGGCTAAAAGATAGAGTCGAAAAATTTGAACCAAAGAAGAATTCTGTTACGTTAAGGTGAGTTAGTGGCTATTTTAATGTCTACAAATTTCGTAATAATAATTGAATTTCTATTTTTAGTAGTGGAGAAGAAATAACTTATGATTTTATGATTATAGCCACGGGCTGTCAATTACGATTTGATTTGGTGAGTACAAAACCTATATTTGAATTATTGATTTTATTGATTTTTGCAGATCAAAGGCTTGCCTGAAGGACTTGATACACCCGGAGTATGCTCAAACTATTCACCTTTTCATTGTACAAAAACATTCAAGGAACTTAGTACCGTTACGGTAAGTGCATTTTGCAAATTATTGATAAGATTTCAGCCCAGCAGTCAGAAAACTTTTATTGATTTATCGATTTGTCACCATGTCAATCTTGCTCACAAAATAGTTTTTTTTCTCAATTCTTTTTTCAAGCTACAAGATTTTTTTCCAGTCAGGAAACTGCGTATTTACTTTCCCTAACGCACCAATCAAGTGTGCCGGTGCTCCACAAAAAGTATTGTATTATGGCGAGGATATCGTTAAAGAACGAGGCTATCGCGATAAAACTAACTTTATCTATGCTACCTCACTACCAAAAGTAAGTCGGGGACCAGTTCTCCTTGTCGTTATTCATTTCCGCTTTGCAGCTATTTGGTGTGGAAGCCTACCTCGCCACATTAACTCAAATTGCTAAAGAAAAGAACATTGATGTACGAACAAGACATAATCTTATCGAAGTGGATACAAAAAATAAAATTGCCAAATTTGAACTGCTTGATGAGAACTGCAAACCAAACGGGAAATTTGATGAAATACCCGTGAGTGTAGATTTTTTTCTTGAGAAACTGCCCTTTCGCACCACTACAGTATACTATCGTAACTCTTGCAGCACGTGAATAAACTTCGAGGCACGTATTCACCCGCAAAAAAATGTTCTGAGCGCCGTTGGTTCCTTCTCATGCCATTATTGCCCTTCAGAGGCATCACAAAGTTACGGTAGCATACGGTAGATATGAGCAAAAGGGACTATGTCTTTGTTCTACATCAGTATAGCTATTCTTTTCTATTCAGTACTCGCTATTGCATGTTGGACCACCATGCTTAACTCCTCCAGCCGTGAGGAACTGCAAGGAAATCGTTGACGAAACTGGATGGGTAAACGTCGACCCTGAAACTTTGAGGGTGAGTACGATTTCAATTTTTGAACATCGTAGATTGGAGATTTGAGAATTGTCTGGATACTGTACATTACCACGGAGAAAGTGATACAATATGTTGAAAGCATCTGACGCTTACAGCAATTCATACTACAGTCAGTGCCAACTTCGAGCTCCCTTTTGCTTCGCGATTATGCATCGACAGCTG